CAGAAGCCCCGAGCACACTTCCCTTCACATCTCATTGGTTACAAATGCATCCTAGTCCCGCGCCTAAACCCACCCACCACCGCTGGTGCGGCCCTGGCTGGGCTCCGCTTTGTGCCACAAAGAGGGGCTAGGCCAGGTCCTGGGACAAGGTGGACCAGAGGCTGAGAGCACCGAAAGCAGAGACAAAATGGCCACGGGGAGGGGAAGAAAGTCAAGACAATCATTTTGGAGGCAGAGATGACAAATGGAAACCAGAAGAGCTGGAGTAAAAACATCTCGAAGACCTAACGGACGGAACGTCGTCCAAGCCAAAGAAAGACCCAAGTTTGCAAAGCGAACAGGCCGAATACATTCTAGGGACTATGAATGAAAAGAAAATGGCGGGACGGAAAGGGATTCCCACCGGCTTCAGAGCAAAAAAAAAAATGGTTCTCTATCATGGAGTCTGTACAGCTTGCATGTGGGTCTTTCTATATCACTAAATTTCTCAAGGCGGTAGAATGACTCCTCTGCAGAATTTGGAGCGAATACTCGCTCCCCAGGAATTTTATCTCCATCAAATTCCCTTTTGAATGTGAAGACATTTTGAGACATTCAGAAGCTTGGAAAACAGACCTGTCCATGGCCTATAGCAGGTCAATACCAAAATAAAACCGAAATGTGGGCTTCTAGGAGGTGGCAGGGATGGCACAAGGGGACTGACCGTGTGGCCGCTGAGGACCCCCGCCAGCCCCGCCGTTCTCGACGGGGCCGTGGAGCCCGACAGGGCGGCCCTGGCCCCGCGCGGCTCCTGTCGCCGTTCCCTTTCTGCTCCCTCTTGTGCAACATCAGGAAGTGTGTGCTAGAGCCACATCCTTCACCCGAGGGCTCCGGCGGAATCCGTACTTCACCCGCTGACCACTCAGAACAATAACAGCTGCCACCCTCTTCCTGAGCTTAATAACAATAGCCGAACCGTTTGCCCGCCCAGACGGCTTTTAGAAAGTCATTTTGTTTTTCTCTCCCTCTCCAGAAGCCACACCACGCAGAGCAGCGCGACAGCCAGCCTCGGGCACCAGGAACTGAGTCATGAGCGTCTCACACGATCCGCCGTGCTTTTTCCTCTAAGCCAGGAAAGAATACCGAAAGCGTCTATGAGGCAGAGAGTTTCGAATTTCTTCTCCTAAACTTGCATCAAAACGTGTGCCTATTCTCGTCTTGACCTAAGTGGTCAGCATCCTGGCTACGATCTCGACCATGAGCAAAGGCAGGAAGTTCACGGCGAACGTTGACGCGGCTGGGGCCTGGGGGTGGTTTTCATTTTCTGCTTTATTCTCGGTAGGGAGGGCGTCAGAAGAGCAACGGGTTGTAGGAATGGAGCCTCGTTTACTCCAGGGCCCCATTGCTCAAAGGGCCCCGTTTACTTTGTGGCGCTGGGTTTTGGGCAGCCAGTTATGTGACAGGTCGACAGGCCTGTGGCCTCCCCTCGCTAATGCTCAAGCTGGCCCGTCTGGACTGCTTGTCCTGCCTCAAACTTATCCCGATGTTCCAGGGAGGTGGGACCCTAACAGCTCGCCCCGGGCGTGCTCCTCAGAGCAGGCTCTCCCACGGGAATCAGGCCTGAGGGGCTGAGCCCACCTGCCTTCCTCCCTCACACAGCCCCCAGAGTGCCGCCCAACCCCCAGGGCCAGCGGCTTGGCTCCAGGTCAGAAGGTTCTCGGGGCCCGAGGGTCAGAGCAGCTGCTGGACAACTGCTTAACAATTCCTCGGGCTACTGAGGTGACGGTGCAGAAAGCCACAGCCCAAGGAGCAGAGCACAAAATCTGCCTCCACAAAATCTGCCTCCATTCCGATCCTATAGAAGAAGAAATACAGATGCATATGCAGTCATTAATGTATGTGTAGTTTACACATTTGCAATATAAAAATATACTTAGTGAAAATTAAAAATGTGTAATACCATGTTTCTCTCCTTCATAACATGCCCCCCACCCCCCAACCCTCGTCTCTTTTTTTTTCTCTTTCGTTCGTTCTTTCCTCCTCTCTTCTCGTCTCATTTTGCTCCACGTCCCCTTTCTTCCCTCGCTTGGGTGTGAAGCAGAACTGACTTACGCTGGTTAGCAGAGCGATCGTTTTATTTGATGTTCCAGAGGATAAAGACAGCCAGCCACTCCCCGACGCTGCCCACCCACCCGGGCCGGGCATTTCGCATCTGCCCTGAGAGGCGCTGTGCGTGACTCTCGCTTTCCCACAGTTACATCCTCACCCAAGGCCACGCACTGTCATGGCCTCGCCTCCCTGTCCTCCTGGGGCAGAGTCTGTCCTTCCCCCAGGGGACCCAACGCCCAGCCAGGTTTGGACAGGCTCTGGCTCAGAAAGAAAGAAGAGTCAGCTGAGGCTCCCACTTCTGCAGGTCTCGGCTACGTTTACCCTTAAAACACAGGGATTTAATAAAGTGATAGTTTACGTCCTCCCCTCCCTTCTCTGATTTCTCATAAATCTATGAAAGGTAGAGTGAGAACAAAGTCCCCGAGTGTCGGGGTCACTCCTCTTCCTCACCAAAACGAGGCTGTCACTGGCCACGAGGCTGTCACTGGCCACGAGGCTGTCACAGGCCACAATGCCCGGACTGACTTCACTAGGTCGCTCCGTAAAGAAGGAAGAGGCAGTGGCTCTTTGGTTTCGACAAAAAGACAGAAGCCCCAGAAAGAAAAGGTGAGGTGATGAAGGCACGCGAGCCATCAGCTCCATCGCCACTTCGCTTGGCCAGGTTTCAGGCTGGATTCTTATTTTAGGAGCCCCGTATTCTGATGGCACTAAACAGAGTCAGGTGTAAGAAATGTGTTATTTAGAAACTGCGGCTAAGCTCAGAAAAGAGTATGAGGTTTTGCCTCAACACGAAAAGAGGAACTCGAGTTAAAATAAGCAGGGGCCGATAACTGCCGAAGCTCCGTCTCATCGTGTGCCTGCTTCGACGTCTCCTCCCAGTGTTTTAGTAAAGTGGTGTCTTTTTATAGGAACGCATATCTGAGGGGTGGAATCTTCCTCAGGCTACCTAGTCCCCACAGCTCCCTGTAACCTGGTTACCTGGTGTTGGCCACCAAGGAGGTCACAGGCCGAGTGCCGGGGTCAGGAGGAGACATGCCCAGCTCTTCTACGAAACCTGCCTGCCCACCGCCCTGGCTGAGTGTGGGCCTCAGGTAACCACACTCTGTCCCCACAACTCTCCCCCGGCCTCCTGGTGGTAGGCAACACCTGCTCCAAGGCAGCTGATTTATACAGACCAGTGGCCTCGGGGCAGCCCACACACAGAAAGCCGTTGGTGGCTGAGCCAACCAGATTCCCTCTTGGGACGGGGAACTGAGAAGTGAGCCTGTTCGTGGGAGAGGAGCAGACCCACACAGAGGGGCTGAGTGGCGGCAGGTAGCACCTGGGTGCAGGGCCCCACACCCTCGCGGTCCCAGGCCCCGGGCCTCCTCTCCCGCTTGCCGCGTGCATCTCCACAAAGGCCCACCCCTTCCACGCATCAGCTAAGGCAAGCCTCTGTTCCTCACGATCCCCCAAACCCGACGAAGCCCCCCGATTCTAAAGCCGCCACAGGACTGGCAGCGATTCAGGTGAATACAAGATACCACAGCAGCAAGGGCATGACGTGAGAGGCAGCAGACACCAGACACACGCTATACGTTTACAGGCCATGGGCACACACTACCCCAGAAGCCACAGTCACGTCTTTTCCAGCTTAAGGCCTAGTCATACTTAAAGTATGGCTTGACTTTGAAGGAGGAGAAGAAACCGCAAGGGGAAAAAAGATCAAACGCGTTGACCAGCTTTTAACCTGAGGGTTTAGACTCGTTGCAGCAAACCACCTATAAAGAATGCCAGCCCCGCCAAGAAAGTTTATGCAGTCTCAGGCCTGGAAGAAACTGCAGAGGTCATCGAGGCCCTGCCCACCCCACGCTGGCCTTCCATTGGCGGCTGCGTCCCTGACAGGTGAGGAGCCCACAAGAGAGATGACCATTTTAATGACAAGCAGCCGCCGAGTGCTTGGAAAGACGGTCTCGTACCAGCTGTGCCCCGCCCAAGACACGTGGGTGGCCCAGACTGGCTAAAGACGTTGCAACGGGTACTCGTTAGACGCTGACGTAGGTCCGCGCGTTGGGGCGACTCTCGGAGAAACGCTCCTTCAGGCGGAGCGAGTCCACTTGAGCCCAAGCTTGCAGCTCCCACAGAAACGCTGCTGCAGAGAGCCCGGGCCCCAGAGGCCCCAGAGGCCCCAGAGACGATAGCGAAGCGCACCTCTCACCGTGTCCCTCCCCGTCCCACGTGGCTCCTTAAAGCAATTCCTTTGACGCCCACAACTAGTCTCCCCGGAGGCATTCTGCTCAGCACAGGTTCTCTCTCTGACACACTGTCACGCCTCCAGTGACTGCTGCCTATTGTCCAATCCTGGAGTCCAGCTCTGCTTCTACCGCTGCCCCGGACTCCTGCCCAAAATGCAGCGAGCCCTCAGCCCTGGAACCAGACGTCGCACCCGCCCCTCCCTAAACTTCCGCTTTCTTTACGGACCCTGTCACGGCTCCTCCGTGACAGGGTGTCCCAATCCTTGTCTGCCCTGGCTGCTCTCCTGGCCACGTGGGTGAACTTGGCTCGTCGGTACCTCTCACCACAGTGCAGAGAACTGTCACTCTGGCCCTACTGGAGACACTGATGGCGTCACTTCCTTCATTCGGCCCACGCACTCCACCCCCGTGCCCTTTTAATGCCATCAGATAAAAAATAGCTTCCCCGGCCTCCATGTCACTAAGTTGTCATGCACTGTGGTCACACCGAGCCCGTGCTGTTCGTCACACTGACTGCGTGTCGGGTGGCCATCCCCACCGTGAACTGCTAGAAGGACAGGCTCAGCCAGGCCTTCCTGTCCAGGCTGCTCGAGGCACATGCTTCTCCCCCTTTTCACCCTTTCTCCGCCAGTTCAGGCCGCAGGCAGGATCGCAGCTCTAGGTTGGTAGAGGGCTTACCTGAACGGTGAACTTATCATCTTCGTTGGGCAGAATCCTGTAAGTGTAAACGCAATTCCGATACCTGAAACAGACCAAAGACAACATGAGGGCCCAGGCGGGAACATTTTTTTCTGGTAACTGAGAGGACAAGAATTCCTCTCAGAGCCTGAGGAGTCTGGGCACGAAATCTCTGAACTTAGGGGCTAATGGTTCTGAGGTGGACGTCGGGCCTGCCATCGAGAGAGGCTGGACCGGGTCACAGCTTGTCCCCTTCTCCACCCCATCAGCACAAAGGAGCTTCGTTCGGGAAAAGGCCGGTGGGGTTTTGGGGGTGTGATTTACATGCATGCTTGACAGCCGTGTGGTCTGACCTAAAGGAGGCTTCTGGGCTGTCATGTTGGCCAAAGGAACAGAGGCGGAGGTGGTGTTTCAAATAGCGGCAAGACTGCAGTGGGGCTGAGCAAGGCGGGGGGCAGAGGTGGGGACAGGGTGAAGGGGTGTGCAGCCAATGAGAGGGGCCGCACCGGCCAAGGCTCCGGGTGCAGTGCCCCATCCCGCTGAGCCCCCCTCACTCCCCACGGCTTCTTCCCCTGAAGCCTTTGCCACATGGGTTCATTCTCCCAAAGGCCAGCTGCCACCCCATCAGAGACCTGGGTTTCCCCCAGCAGCTGATGAGAGAGCCACAGGGCTGCTTCTAGCAGGAAGAGCTAGGGACCCTGCATGTTCCCCTCCTAGAAGCTCCACTTTCCTTCAGTTTTGGGGTCCCCAATGCGAGGAGGAGGGGCTACTTCGTACTTCCCTAAACTTCTGAGCACCTTGGGAGAGGTGCACATTGGCAGGTGGCCTGGCCAGTAACACGCCCGCCCCCCACCCCCGCCCCTGCAGAGAGCCTGGTGGCCGCAGACAACCACACAAGTCCATCCGCTCTGCTGCTGAGCCCAGAGGCATAAGGAGTTGCGGGGTGCTGGGTGGGTCTTCACTCTTTGCTAAAACTGCTGGTTGGTTCTCTTACCCCTCTAATCTCCCCTATTTCTTCCACTTGGGATTCTCGGGAACTTCAAAGCCACCCCACCCTTGCCGAGCCCCTAGGCAGGGGCTGCCCTCCAGCTCCCGCATACTGGTTCTGTTACAGTGACCAAGACAACGAATGCTTTGTCATGAACATCTCACCTACTTAGCTCCTCCTGGGTGCCAGGCACTTTGGTAAGCATTTATATGTTTTAGTTTAACTAGATTTTAAAATTATGCTAGTTAAAAAATTTTAAGACCATATGGAAAGATATAAAATGAAAAATAAATGTCTCCTTCCCCCAGTCTCTACTTCTAGAGTCCTACTTCTAGGATTTACTGCTCCTTTTTGTAAATCGTTCTAGAACTTTTAAACATGCACACAAACTTACATGGCCGTGTCTTTTTAAATGCAAATAATTTCATACTACATGTGCTGTTCAGATATTTGCTTTTTTCACCAACAAAATACCTTAGAGGTCTTCCCAAGTCATGTTCCCCCACGTGGTTATACAGCCATTGTTTTGACTAAACACTGTACTATGGTAAATGATGCTGCAGCGAACATCTCCGGTCCTACATCTTGCGAATGTTGGTGAGCTCATAGTTTTAGTGTCCCCATCAGCGAAACGGGGACAACAGTAACACAACATCTGAACCCTTGTAGGACAGACTAAGAGAATTAATGTATGAAAAGCATTTAGAACAGTGCCTAGGACACACTAAACACGTTTATTATCGATCGTGGATCAGTGTCTAGAAGAACAGCTGGGCTAAAGGACACAGGAACTTTATATTTTGATAGAGACTAACAATTGCCTTCCAGTGAGATTGTGTTACTTTTTTCTCCCAGTAACCGGATATGAACGTGCCTATTTCCCCACCCCCTGCCAACTGGCTGTTATCAGACGTTTTAATCTTTGCAAATCTGATGGGTGAAAGAAAAATGATGGTTTGCTTTCATCTGTCTTTCTTTATGAGAAAGGTTGAGTTTGTTCTCATGTTTCCCTGTTTGTATTTCTTTTTCTGTGAATTCCTTTTCATATCTTTGGCTCACTTTTTTTTTTTCTTTTTAATCTTTTGCTTTCTTATTTCTAAGACTGATATATGCTACAATATAGGTGGGAATTATTTATTTTTAACAGTGTTTATTCACTTTGGGAGGTTTTAGTTTGTTTTTTAAGCCGTGTAGAAGTGTTATAATTTTATGTGGTCGGTTTTATAATCCTCAATGGCTTTCGAATCAACGGATGTTTAAAGAAAGTTTTGGAGACGGTCGTGGGAAATTTCACTTCCACGCGGCGATTCATGTCTCATAGGAAAGTTTATTCTTCTCTCTTCCTCTCATCTCTTTAATTCCCATTTTGCCACTCCCCGTCCTGTCTCCAGAGCCTGAATTGACACAACTGGCTTCTATCAGAGATGGCGAGGGTGAACCTCTAGTCCAGTGCCACCTCGCCTCCTGGAGAGGTCCCAGGAAATAGAGAGCCACCCCATAATCTTAGCCTGACTCCCCCCAGCCTTGATTTCTCCAGCCTCGTTTGCAGAGGCCTGCCAGAGGATAGTTGGAACCCTGCTGAGCTCTTATCTCTGCGAGTCCTAGTGACACTTCCTCCCGTAGATATGCAAATGAAGGCAGGGCCCCAACAGTCTCTTATTTGGCTGAGGGCAGCTAATTTGTGGAAGAGGTTGAGCAGAGCCAAAACATCAGCTCGCGGACAGAAAGAAAGAACACAGAGTCACAGGGAGAGGGGCAGAGACAGCTACACAGAACAGGAAGGCCCTTTATGGCTTTTTCAAAGATGTTCTAGAAACGCTGAAACAAAGAAACAGCTCCATGTTACTTAAATAGATCAGAATTCAAAAGCCAGTGCAAGAGGAAGACAGGACACTTTGCCCCTAGGAAGGGACATCTCAGCGTCTCTGGGGCAGACACGCAGTCCCTGGGGTTGTCGCTCGGGAATATGGCCGCTACCACCCCTGCCACCCACAACCCACGGGACAGCAGTTGTTCCAACGTGCATGCCACGGGCGCAGGGCCTCCGCGGGGACCGGAGGTAGGCACACCTGGACACACCTGTGCACGCAGGTACGTACGCATGCATGTGCAGATTCAGATACGCAACACACACACATACATGCACACAGCCACACACACACAATCTTACACGCGAAACGTTTAGCGTGAAGATTCTACAGCTAAATCATCTCCGACAGACCGTAATCCGGACAGCACACTCGTCATTGTCCCACCCAGTTCCCGCCCTCAGCTGCTCTTCCTTGCCATGACTGCGTGGCACTTCAGGGTCACTGTGCTAGCAGTGATCCCACTGCTGACCCTGGGCCGGGGTGACGCGGACCCGGGCTGGGGTGACGTCAGCCCTACAGTGCGTACTTCTGCGACCAAATGAGCGTGTGCCCTTCTCAAGTGAAGCAGGGCTGAGCGCAAATTTCCCACGTGACACTGGACAGCCGCTGGTGAAAACAGACGCCCACACTCTGGAAGCAAAGAGGAAAAAAAGAAGCAAGAAGAAGCTGCCGCACCTAGGAAGGGCGTTTCTAGATCAGCCCTCACACGGTGTTGCTCCAGCGTAAGAAGACGAACCAATGGAAGAAGGAAGAAACGCTGTGGTGTTTTATTTATTCTCAGATAAAAATCATGTAAGTCACAAGATGGAAGGTACGGCATGGCGACTGTGGCTAATAATGCTGCGCTGCGTATTTGAAAGTTGCTAAGAGAGTAGATCTTAACAGTTCTCATCAGAAGAAAAAAATCATGGGTGGTGATAGATGTCACCTAGACCTACTGCGGTGATCATTTCACAATATAGACGAGTGTCGAACCGTTATGTCTGACACCGAAAGCTGATATATATTACATGTCGATTATACCTCAATAAAAAAGTTATTTCTGTATGACTATTCCTAGCCAAATAAACACTGACAAGCATCCTTTACCATGGCAAGCCGAGGGAGAATGGGGGAGGGAGGGAGAGAGGAAGAGAGAGAGAGAGACAGAGAGAGAGAGAGAGAGAGAGAGAGAGAGAGAAAGAGAGAGAGAGAGAGATCACTCTCCAAAATTCAGGAACCTCATTCCTGTCTGTCTCACTCTGCTGATTGGCTTGGCATGCTCCCATAATTGTTTTTAACCCCTTAGTAACCTATTATCTATCATGTCTAATTTCTAATGTTATTTCTACGTGGTTTCTCTTTTCTTCCTGCTTAAGTATTGCAGACTTCTGGACAAGTCGAGGTGGGACAACAAGGGCTGGAAACTCTGCATTCAAAAAAGCCACTCGAACCAACACAGACGCAGAAAACACGCGTCAGCCCCAGGAACCAAGGATGTTCACCGTTCACTGGCTAATCCCAAAGAATCTTGCCAGAGGGAGTAGGAAAATGGAAGAATTAAATGTAGCCATTAGCTCAGAAGAGGAAAAAGCCGGAGGAGGCACCAGGTGGCCAGGTGAGGCGGCCCGCGTGCTGTAGGGGGGCTGCTGAGCGCCCTGCCCCCCAGCAGCCTGGGGGTTCGACGGGCTGTTCCTTGCACAAGCCTCCGGAAGGAAGCCCACCTATCCATGCACCGCACCCCCTCACCACTCACCCCCATCCCCTGGATCTTAGATCAGGGGGCTCGCACTCCCATGGTCTTTTTGGTGTTTAGGAAGAGGATTTGGGCAGAAACCCACTCTGCCCTCCAAAAAAGAATCTGATTCCATTTTTTTCCTGACAGTTCCTTGTCAGAAAAGAAAAAATCACCAGACCTGTGAAAACATATCGCTACCCAAAGGAAGGGGCACGGTTTTTCTAAGGACTCGAACGTGTTACCTCTACATTCCGTAAAATCATTGCAAAAGAAAAAAGAAAGAAAAAGACATTCTGGAGGAGAAATCTGATCCGTGAATCAGTAAGATTTAAGAGACGATTGTTATCTCTGAAACTGAGAGAATCAATTGTGAAAACTGAGCAATAAGACAAGGAAAACGGATCAGAAGCAAAACACCTGCGTTTCTAGAAGCAGCATGAAACCCAAGAGTCAGGAAACGGCTTCCATTCTGGAGAAAGTTAATGAGG